ATAATATATATTGACAAATCACAAATGGGTGATTTCTGAATTACTCTGAAAAACCCTATGAATTGTAAAGGATATATATTTTTTAAATAAAATTGTTAATGCAGTACCTGTTAATCTGTGTATCTAAGCCTTCGAGTTATGTATATGTATCTAAGCCTACGAGTTGTGTATATGTATACACGCCAGTGCGTTGTATCTAGATATCCAAGCCTGTGAGCTACGCCTCTTCACCAATATGATAGCGTAAATATATGCGTTGTATTGATGCCAAGGATCCGGGTAACTAATTCTTTGACATCTATACAGTGGGAATGGTGTGAGCAACTATGAATGATACAGATAACATTAAACACAATTTCAGATCTGCATACGATTACTTCTGAATATTCATATACTTAAAACTTTGACCTTCAATCATTTCTTAATTTTAAACTTCAAAGATTAATGTTTTTTAACTTGTAATCTAATTCACAGTTTAAAATTAAGAATATTAAATAATTAATGTAATAGGCATATGGAAAAGAAAGTTAAAATTATGCCATCTACAGTAAAAATGTATTTTCACTATGTAGATATTCATCTTATCAAGGCCACGGTCACGGTGAGGCGACACCATGACAATGGGGACCGTATATCACAAACGTCGTCCCTGTGCATACGACAGTAAGACTTGGTTTTTAAAAACTTGGAATATCGTGTTCTCGTGTCAGCCCGGTGGCAACTCAATTCAAGGAAATATAAGAGTTAATAACTGGGTATCCACTTGGACCATCTGGTCACCATTTGGTCCGGGAGACATCTCCCGTCACGCAGGGTGCAGTCGCACCTCCACAGATCTCCAGTATCATCTATTGATACTGGTAATGGCTCAAAAGGGCCACCACTTACGAGCTATTCATGCCTGTGCCACCTTTTGGGTGGCTTCATCTTCATCTTAACTCATTCACAAGGGAGACATCTCCCGTCATGCAGGGTGCATTCGCACCTCCACAGATCTCCAGTATCAGCTCTTGATACTGGTAATGGCTTAAAATGGCCACCACTTACGGGCTATTTATGCCCGTGCCACCTTTTGGGTGGCTTAATCTTCATCAATCATCGGTATCCACAATGTAAGCTGATTTGGTAGCAATACCGGTAGCACTCAAAATTATTGACAACAGTGCAGTAGACAGCTTAATTATTACTGACTCCCTTTCCTCGCTACTAGCAATAAATAGTTTGCAATCAAGTAATAACGTCCTTGTTAAGGTTCCAGTAAATAAATAGTGCTGAACGGAATCTTGAGTTATCAAATAGGTCCCTTAAAAGTGTCATTAGACGAGAACTCTTGGATGAATTTGAAGAAAGCAGTACAGTGCAAACTGGAACTAGTAGGTCCATTGTTTGTCACAATGAAATGTGTCCAGTAAAACAAGTGTAATGGTCAAGTAAGAGAATCAGCAGACTAACAGACGCTGTGACAGCTCGAATAAGATTTGGCTACAGGTATTTAAATGTATTTTAAAAATGTATACCTATATATATATAGGTATACATATATATATATATATATATAGGTATACATATATATATAGGTATACATATATATATAGGTATCAATAATTGGCTGTCGATTGCTGGTGTTGACTTCTTGATGTGTAGTGCCTCGCAAACGTCAAGCCGCCTGCTATCGCTGTATCTATCGATGATTTCTGTGTTGTTTACTAGGATTTCTCTGGCGATGGTTTGGTTATGGAGAGAGATTATATGTTCCTTAATGGAGCCTGTTGTGTATGCATCGTTAAACGCCTAGAAAGAGATGTTGTTGTCTTGCCTATATACTGGGTTTTTTGGAGCTTACAGTCCCCAAGTGGGCATTTGAAGGCATAGACGACGTTAGTCTCTTTTAAAGCGTTCTGTTTCGTGTCTGGAGAGTTTCTCATGAGTAGGCTGGCCGTTTTTCTGGTTTATAAGTAAAATCGTCAGTTGTATCCTCTGATTTTTGTCTGTAGGGATAACGTTTCTATTAACAATATCTTTCAGGACCCTTTCCTCTGTTTTATGAGCTGTGGAAAGAAGAAGTTCCTGTAAAATAGTCTAATAGGGGGTATAGGTGTTGTGTTAGTGTCTCTTCGGAGGTTGCAGGCTTTTCACTTTCCTTCTTATGATGTCTTCGATGAAACCATTGGAGAAGCCGTTATTGACTAGAACCTGCCTTACCCTACAGAGTTCTTCGTCGACTTGCTTCCATTCTGAGCTGTGGCTGAGAGCACGGTCGACGTATGCGTTAACAACACCCCTCTTGTACCTGCAGGGTAGTCGCTGGTGGCATTTAGGCACATTCCTATGTTTGTTTCCTTTGTGTAGACTGCAGTGTGGAAACCTCCGCCCTTTTCCATGACTGTTACATCTAGAAAAGGCAGCTTCCCATCCTTTTCCGTCTCGTAAGTGAAACGCAGCACGGAACTCTGCTCAAATGCCTCCTTCAGCTCCTGCAGATGTCTGACAGCATCAAGGTAACTGTGTGAAAATGTCGTCAACATACCTGCAGTATATGGCCGGTTTCAAGTTCATGTCGACTAAGACTTTTTGCTCGATGGTACCCATGTAGAAGTTTGCAAACAGGACACCTAGGGGAGAACCCATAGCGAACCCCATCTACTTGCTTATAATATGCCCATCCGGGCTCAAGAAGGGTGCCTCTTTAGTACAAGCTTGGAGTAGTTTCCTCAGAATACTTTCTGGCATGTCAAGAGGAGTACAGGCTGGATCACGATACACTCTGTCGGCTATCATTCCGATTGTCTCGTCCACAGGTACGTTGGTAAACAGCGATTCTACGTCCAACGAGGCTATTATCCCTGTGGGCCCGTGCGCCCCGCAGTAAGTCCACAAATTCCTTTGGAGACTTCATGCTGAAGGCGCAAGGAACATAAGGAGTCAGCAGGCCGTTGAGATCGCTTTGCCAATCTGTACGTGGGTGTGGGTATCTGGCTAATGATTGGCCTAAGTGGTTTTCCAGGCTTGTGCGTCTTGACATTTCCATACGCATATCCAGGTTTATATTCCCCAATGATCTTTGGCAGGTGGCGTCCGGATTTCTTGGCGTTCACAGTTTCGATCAGTTTGTTGACCTTTGCTTTTAATTCGGCTGTAGTGTCCTTGCGTTACCCTTTGGAACTTAGTTTGGTCAGAGAGTATGATGTTCATTTTCGCCAGATATTCGTCTTTTTTAAGAATGACATATATGGGCGACTTGTCACCCTCTCCTGACAACTATCTCCTTGTTCTCACGAAGGCTTTTAGCTGCCGCTCTAAGCTCGGGGGACAGTAATGGTGCTTCTGTAGTTGCCTCGATTCTTTCCTCCTTCTGCAATAAGTTCTGCTTGTAAGTTATCTTTGGGTAGTGACCTTCTTTTGTGTCTCGAGGGTCGAATATGTCGTCCAACAGAATTTCCAGCTCCACTTTCCGGGCCATTTCACTCGGTCTGGACATAACATGACAGTTTATGCCCAGATTTAGGAGAGTGACTTGGTCCTCAGTGAGGTTATTTCCTGCAAGGTTCAGGAAGCCATCTCTTGGTCGTGGAATTGCCATAGGTCCTCCATATAATGTTGTTAGTTTCTTGATAATGATAATCGGAATGATAGCCGACAGAGTGTATCGTGATCCAGCCTGTACTCCTCTTGACATGCCAGAAAGTATTCTGAGGAACTACACCAAGCTTGTACTAAAGAGGCACCCTTCTTGAGCCGGATGGCCATATGTATAAGCAAGTAGATGGGGTCGCTATGGGTTCTCCCCTAGGTGTCCTGTTTTGCAAACTTCTACATGGGTACCATCGAGCAAAAAGTCTTAGTCGACATGAACTTGAAACCGGCCATATACTGCAGGTATGTTGACGACATTTTTACACAGGTACCTGATGTCAGACATCTGCAGGAGCTGAAGGAGGCATTTGAGCAGAGTTCCGTGCTGCGTTTCACTTACGAGACGGAAAAGGATGGGAAGCTGCCTTTTCTAGATGTAACAGTCATGGAAAAGGGCGGAGGTTTCCACACTGCAGTCTACACAAAGGAAACAAACATAGGAATGTGCCTAAATGCCAACAGCGACTGCCCTGACAGGTACAAGAGGAGTGTTGTTAACGCATACGTCGACCGTGCTCTCAGCCACAGCTCAGAATGGAAGCAAGTCGACGAAGAACTCTGTAGGGTAAGGCAGGTTCTAGTCAATAACGGCTTCTCCAATGGTTCATCGAAGACATCATAAGAAGGAAAGTGAAAAGCCATGCAACCTCCGAAGAGACAACTAACACAACACCTATACCCCCTATTAGACTATTTTACAGGAACTTCTTTTCCACAGCTCATAAAACAGAGGAAAGGGTCCTGAAAGATATTGTTAATAGAAACGTTATCCCTACAGACAAAAATCAGAGGATACAACTGACGATTTACTATAAAACCAGAAAAACGGCCAGCCTACTCATGAGAAACTCTCCAGACACGAAACAGAACGCTTTAAAAGAGACTAACGTCGTCTATGCCTTCAAATGCCCACTTGGGGACTGTAAGCTCCAAAAACCCAGTATATAGGCAAGACAACAACATCTCTTTCTAGGCCTCCGCTCCAATATATAGGTATACATATATATATATAGGTATACATATATATATATATGTTAGTACCATACCTGGTACTAATAATATCCAGGAACTTACTGACACATATCTCTGAAACTAATTACATCCAGACAATGCAAGTGCAAAATTTCTGGCCCATATTGCTGAAGTCAAAGTTAGGTTTCTACGAAACAGTCCATTCATAGTTTTGATGTTATCAGCTGGGACAAACAATTCCCCAACATTTCAATACATCAAAAAATGAAAATCAAGCGTCTGGCTCTTTCACTAATTAGTTCACATCTTACTAAACACTGTACAATGTATAACCTTTGGTGGGACTTACCAATGCAAGGTGAAATCATTAATGGAATAATTTGCTTTATACTTACCGAAGGAGTTCAAGGATCCGTCACCACAACAGAACATCCTGGCTGATTCAATTGTCGATGTCTGGAAATAAAATTCTCTCTTACACACGGAACAATAACGCAAAAAAGTGACTGTTACACACTCAACTATTACACACAAATGACCCAATAAGAGTTCGAACATAAGAGTGCCAGGGTGGCAGACCATAACTTTAAAAGCTCTGTCATGGATAGAATTGTACTTATTGGAAGGGAGTTTGAACTACTGTACATTCATCCTGTACCCCGCTACTCTCGTGGAGACAGGGAATAATTATTTTATTGATCCTTTGAGTGAATTCCAAAGCAACCAAGCGTCAAATTAAGTGACACGAGAAACATTATCAAAGGTGTTTCGGTTCTACTAGCTGAGCTGTGGTTTTCTAACACATAAGAAATCATTACTTAGTTGGCCTACTGATAAGAGAGCAATAATTTCTAAATACATCTCATAGAATCGATAATGATGCAAGACTAAGTCCCAGAACAAGGTTGGTTTTATGTAAAATCTCTTTATTTAAATTTCAGAATAAATTTGTGACAGCCCAGACAACATTACCACGAAGTATATAGCACCATTTCACGATTTAGGATTTCTGACTGAGAACCTAAATCTTTAACGGGGATATCTGCAATCCTACTAAGTAGTCAGACATTTAGCCTATCCTGATTTGTAGTGGATAGAAAACTCCACTTCCTCGTTCCTTTAACCAGTGGTTCAAACAAATAGTCTTTATATCGAAGATCATAGTCCCTTTATGTAACAGATAATGGGGCATTCATCAACAAATATAAATAAATTAACATAATTTAATCTTACTTAATACACCAATTTATAATAGCGTATCATGGAAAGGTTTTAAAGTAAATAACAGGGTCGAAAATTAACAATTGAGGACATTTCGCTCTCCAGGCTCTCTCTCACACGGCAGCCACGAGGTAGAGAACAAAGGTCAAGTGTTTCTATGACACTGCAACCAGAAGAAGACGAATAAAATAAAATAAAAAACTGTATAATCAATTGCTAGACTTTCCATACTTAAGATTTAGCTAAACGATCATAAGCTTCAGTATCAGCATTATCAACTACATATTTAACTGTATTTAACTCTAGCTTATTCAGACAAATTATTAGACTGATGACAACCTGGCGCTATAATCCTTACCACGCGTTCTATGTCTATTTCTCTTTTTATGTTTACAAAGTTCACACGATACATAAGTGTTCCGAGTACAGTACATTATATAAATACGTGAATTTTGTTTAAACGTCTTAGTTTGCCATTTGGAGAGCGAGGTACAGATGGTAAAGAAATTGCTTTGAGAAATTTAAATTACAAATATCCAGCATTAACTCTTCTTCGTATATTGAAATTACGGGCACTTTATTTCAAACTGACACCATGTTACCTATATCATCTCATTATTATTGTCACAACGTCATTGAAATTTCTGTTACGAGTTACAAATGCCTAGCATTGAGCATATAAGAAAAAGTTCGAAATACCTCTGTTCCAGACTTCTTAATAGGGAGAATGGCTGCATCCCGTCAGTCATCATGAAAGTGATTGATTGATTGATGAAGATTAAGCCACCCAACAGGTGGCACGGGCATGAATAGCCCGTAAATCATGAGTGTTTCGTATATGAGTACATATGTTCAAGTAATATTCTAAAGGTGAGGTGAGAGATGGCGGGTAATTTCATGGTGTATTCCATCAACGCCTAAGTGCATCCCATCCTCCACCCCAAAGCAATACTACTAAAACAGATTCTCTATGACGTTGATTAGTCAGTATTTGAAACATACCGACAGGATGAATCTTTCAAACTCTGTTGTCACAAATATTATTTTACCAAACATAAATTTATTTTATTATATATTGAGTGTTTATGCAGTAGGCTTAAGTATGATTAGGTTAAGTGACTGTGTTATGTTGACTTAAGGAGTATTTACAGTACCGGCTGGAACTAATGCGCGACGGTGATTGAAATATCAAATTGAAATATCATGGTCAAATATATTAACAATACTTCTGGGAAAACAAAATTGTAGGATCACGTAAGCTATATAGGTTAGTGACACGATGAATTGTGCAGCCTATAAGCTAGGAATAGATCTATTTAAAAACAACTATCAATAAATGTGTTTATTTATAAACAATTTAGGCGTCCCATAACAATATTAATATATATAATAAGGCTTATAACCCTGTACACATGGTAAGTCCTCCAGGTTGTCCAGTTCGAACTGAAAATGTAAAAGAAATTTTATCTCACAGGACTGCTATAGTTAATTCGTTCAATGCCATATAGCTTCGTGATATTCTATTAGATAGTGTACAAAACAGCCAGCTGCTTTGTAAGACGCATTGCATAGTAGCCATCTGTAGCCTAGTAGTGAATGAAATTCCTTGCACCAGCTAGATTAAACCTATATAAAACAACTTTTAAAGCAACATAATGATAGTGGAAAATACGAAGCGCGGTGAGTGAATTTCGGTTACAATACATTCAGTTGACTGGCAAAGAGAGCAACTAAGGATTTTCAGAGCGTCCGGTCATAGCCTAGTAAATATAAATTACATTATAAATTTATTTTAGGTACATACGAACGAAAAATCTGAATCGAACTCTCATTTTCAGAATGAAGGCTGTAGATAGGGCGGGAACAACGAAGAGGAAGAGAGGGCTCGAACACATTCCCGAAGAACAAGCAATTCCCTCTATCACAAACACAAGTTTGAGATTTTGACCCTCCCCCCCCCCTCCCACACACACTCCCACGTCCCCTATATCCCAAATCGAGAATTTGATAAAACCAATTATAAAGCTCAAAGGGTCCAGTTATTGTTTGTTTAGGGTCCAGCATTCACAGGAATAAGGCATTATATTGCAGACAGGGTTTTCCGTCAACGGTATACTAGCAGAGGTGATGTATATAAATTCTGATAACAAGAAATGTAGCTGTAAGAGGTAAAGATATATTTCAGGACAACAAACACAATTTTTTGTTAATTCGTAAATTGATTGTATATATGTATGTCCTTTACACAAAATTTCATATAAAATAAATCATGTTTGCTTAATAATACGCATGCAGACAATAATAGCGACAGTTTCCAGTTATGCAAACAAAATGGATCTAAAATTGAAAATAAAAACCGACTGCGTTTTTCAGACCATTATGGTGAGATATAGTCAGTAAGCATAGTCTATTATTCTACGGCACATTTTGTGTTAGTAGTAATTACAGTTATGTATGGTGTCTGTTTCAAACTGCTGTGAAGTTTTACAGGACCAGTCAGATGTTTTTTGTAGCAATTAATCAATTAATTTAATAATACAATTTATTTACAGCATCACAGTACATGTCTTCGTTGGCTTTGTCACACGTGGCAGTCCAACTTCATATTTTAGTATACAGTAATAGTAAAATGGCATCGTTGTACTATATTACTATTTAATAAAATTATTAAAATTTTCAAACGAATATCATAACATTTAATAACAAGTGATTTTCTCTACATATGTTTGACTGAAAGTCTTGCACTATCCTACAATATAAGTTAACATGATCTAATGAAAACTCTTCGCTATTAAAACTTTTCCCTTTAACAAAGTTAGGTTCAAAGTTATCTGATGAGGAAAACAAAAATCTTGTACATGTGCCAATTATACTGGGCCATTAGAGTACAAACTTGTATTCAGGCAAAAATTTATACCAAGCATTTTAACTTGGCATTTAAACACTCATATTAATTTAATGCACAGTCCTTGAAAATGAAGTTATTTTAAATTTAATAAAAGCAAAGCACATGAGTTATATAAATGTTATCTCTCATTCTCTTGCAAAATTCCTGAGTTAAGGACACAATGTGCAATTAGCAAGTAAATGTTCCAGATTCCATTATAATGATGTGTTGACAATATTGATCTTGCACACATTTATCTAAGCACGGGGCCAGCCTACACCTCAGCGACATCCCATACACGATCACATGCTATAGCTTACAAGAAGTGCCGGACCAACCAGGCTGTAGTGCATGTTGGGCCGCGGCAAGCAACAGCCTATTGGACCAAGTTATCACAAATCGACCCTGTCCTCAGGCCAGGGAGTAAAAGAACTTCTGAGACGCCTCTCCAGATATGCTCCACTACGGGCAGCAGCTGAATCTAAAATAACAACAGCAACAACGTCGGGGGACAGGCAGCTAGCGTGTATTCATACACGTTAGGCTCATATCGAGATGCTCCCCCCCCCCCAAAGTCGAATGCTGACTAACGCCTGAGTACCTACTTACCATTTGGTGAACAGGAGTATTAGGGGATAGGATCGAATCGTTTTGTGGTGGCTTTATCGTGTTCTTATTACGACGTTAATTGTATGTATGTTACGGCTCACGTTATAACTGCATACATGTAACTCTTATTAGCCTTGTTCCGCAAGAATTGTACAACAATGCAAATTTTAATATGTAGAGACGTCGTTTGCAAACTCGTCATCAATGTATCTGCATAAAATTGAATTAGTCATAATCACGATCATGAACATCGCTACGAAATGCAAAAATTCAGCTTATTATATGAATAGTGCAACACAGTCACCTCTTCCTAATTCCATACAATAAACCCAATCTCACTTTACGTTGTGTCTTTACCCCCTGAGAATGCGCAAACATTTAGAAACATGTGTAAACTTAATTACATCCAACTTCAATATTATACTTTGAATATGCGCAAGGTTCACTAACGTCATATATATCAATGAGAAAATCAATTGGATCTGCAATTTATTTTCTCATGCGTAGGATTATTTTAACATAGTATCAAGTGTGCGCTTTTTAATTGCCAGGCATCGTTCTTATGACAACCTCCCTTGCTTTTATTTACCTAATATGAAAATTTTGTATCCTATCTTAGGGTATTATGATTCAAAGTAATTTCGAAAAGTCGCCAATTATATATATTCAAGCTTAATAAAAAGTTGTGATTATCTGTACATAAATAAAATATATATATATGAACACAAACGCGCACACA